TGATCTGAAACAGATGAAAAAAAATGGTAATAATTAATGAAATGTATTCTCTTTTGTCACATATCAAATTATATCATTGGAAGTCTATGTTTTATTGAACTACTGAGTTAAAATAATATAAAATCATTTCAGATAAAGCTTTAATTCTGACGACTGCAAAAATGGCACATGAAAAAGCTTAGACTAATTGAAAATATAATGTGAATAGTTATGTTGTAAAATGAATACATTTCATTAATTATTACCATTTTTTTTCATCTGTTTCAGATCAATGAATGCTTTTCTTATTGTATACCTTTGTATTCTAATTAGTAAAGCACTAATAAATACCATCCTGAAATATGTTTGGCAGCTTGAGCAATATCGTGATGAACCTTGGTATAATAAGAAAACAGAATCCGAAAGGAAAAGAAATGTGGTATGCAGACCATTTTATTTATACTGAGATGTACCGTATTTTTTGGAGTAAAAGACGCCCCAAGATTTTGAAGAGGCAAATTTTTAAAAAAGGTTTTGCACTTTGTGAAAATGGGCCCATTTTTTGACACTAAAAAGGGCATGAATAGCCATTAGGAGGTTTGTACAGTGCTCCTGGGGGCTGGGGGGGGGGAAATGAGCAAAAAAGCAGCCTGTTTTTTGCTCACTTTTGCCCTCCCCAGCCCTCAGGAGCACTCTGGAAGCCTCCTTAAAGCTATGCATGGCCATTTTTGCAAAGGGGGTGGGGTTTCAGGAGTGCAAAAATGCTGTATTCAGTGTATAAGATGTACTCAGATTTTCACCCTCTTTTTTGAAGGAAAAAGATCTGTCTTATACTCCGAAAAATACAGTAATAATGTATTTACTTTTAGATGATTTCTGCCCTTGCCTATCTTGAATAACTAGAATGCTTTCAACACAGCTCTTGGCTTTATCCTATAAACCAATATTTCCCAACCCTGGCAACTTTAAGAATGTTGGCTGAGAAATTCTGGGAGTTGAAGTCCAGGCATCTTAAAGTTGCCAAGGTTGGGAAATACTGATGTTAGCTGTTGGAAGAATTTTTGTATATTTGTGTAGCCTTCCGCAAATGTCACACTGCCCTACTCTGAGATAGCTAGTGGTCTCCCAACTGACCAATGGGGCAACCCTAAAAATGGCAGCCTTCTGGCATTCTCCCTCCACTTTTCCTGATGCCCTGTATGAAGAACATAATACACTTAAGCATTAGGATTATCAGAAAGACCATAAGCATTTCTGTTATTTATTATTTCAGGATGCAAAAGCATCAGTGTCATGGAGTATGCAAGGATAGCTCACTAACAAAGTAGCCTAGTGTTTGGATATAAAAAGTTCCTGCATTTGGCAAACAATATTATACATTTCTGCCTCTACAATTACCACAACAGAATAATTATTTTAAAAGCATTTTTTCTAGTTATGTTCAGTTTTATGCTAGCAAAGGTGTCAGGTCTGTGAGGCAGTCCAGGCATGAAGCACTAGCTCTGTGTTTATTGTAAGATTACATTAACAGAATCTTGCCAGCCTAAAAGTACATCTCTTTCTCCTGACCTTTACTGTATAAGAAGTTAGGAAGACCCCTTGTAAGGTATTTGCCATGCTCACATCCCTTCTGCGATCTCCTATTTATCCTACTGTTGCCTAATTTGTAGTTCTTTCTCTTGTCTCAAGGTCATTCTCACTGTATCATTACATAAGGTGATGATATACAACTAGCACAAACATCAACTAAACAATTAGCACAACTTGAAATGAAGTAAGGTTGTCCTGATTTTTAGAAGCACTTGCACAAGTAGACTCAAAGTAATGAATGAAATACTTGTACAAGAATTAAACTATGTTTTCTACATACTTTACACATGCATAAACCTAGATAGAACAAAAGATACTATTGGGAACAAATTACTGGATTTCTCTGAATGAATGAGGAAGATGTTACTTAAAAATATGACCTGGTTCATATATTTCAACCTGATCAACAAATCACACAAATGAATCAAGTGTTGGTAACCCACAAACATGGACTGGAAATCTGGATGTTTTCCCATTTACGTAATAGAGAATTTAAAACATGGCAAATTGAGAAGTATTTTTGCAATTGGAAACAAAAAAGGAGGGAAAAGGTGTAAAGAGTGACATTTCGCCTGTTATAAACCAATAAATATGTTTATTGGGGTAGGCTGTTATCCCAAATCTTGGCCTCTTAGGTGTTTTGACTAATTTATGCTCTTACATATTAGTTATAGAAATTAGAATATATTTTCTCTTATTAAAAAGCAAAAATAAAATGTCTAAGAGCTCAATTATATACAAGTTTTCAAAAAAATAAATACAACTGTAACCCTTCTCTCAAGTTAATATGAATAATATTGTGGTCTAGCATAAACTAGCTTATATTGATATTTTTTATTTTTGTCTTCTCTTGGCAGTTTATCGCAGCATTTACAGATTTTCTTTCTTTCATGGTCCTTTTCAACTACATCATTCCTGTTTCTATGTATGTCACAGTAGAAATGCAGAAATTTCTTGGTTCTTATTTTCTCACTTGGGATGAAGAAATGTTTGATGAAGAAACAGGTGAAGGACCACTCGTGAATACCTCTGATCTTAATGAAGAGTTAGGGCAGGTAACTGTCATGCAGAAGCAACTATAAAAATATCACAGCTGTCTTTGTTGTAAAGACAACTGGACAGATTGATATTTCAATTTTCCTATAATTATTTTATTAGTATAATGCATAATGATTTCTCTGATTTAGATGGTATATAGATCTTACTGATCAGAATTTCAGAAAGAAATTTATGAATTTCTTATAAATCATAGTCGACTTTAGATATTTCGTAATAAAGAAACCTACGGTGTATTGATCAGTAGCTTCAAATGTCATGTCCTAGGAGAAGGAAAAAGCTATGACTAACAAGATGCATCTTTTTTTCCAACTCACAACACTAAATGCAGTATGGCAAAGGGCCAGAAAGTATATGACTTTGAATTTTTCAAAAACTCCAGTCAGAATGCCCAATGGCAAAAGTTCCTGGAGAACCACAAATATAGTTTGTTCGTTCATTCATTCATTCATTCATTCATTCATTCATTCATTCATTCATTCATTCATTGTTACATCCAAACTAGACCTGATTGATTGTCATACATTGTATTATTAGGAAAAAAACACTATCAGTACTATCAGTATTGAAAATTCATATCTTAGACAGTTTAGATAATTATTTAAATAATAGTGCAAAAACCATGCAGCACTCTGCTGATAATCCTAAAGGTGCTTTTTCAAAAGACAACTGCCCTTTCTTTTTTTCCCCCTTGAATATGATTTGCTTCTCAATCTTCACGGAAAAACAAAGGAAATCCAGTTGTGTTTGAAAAAAGCACCTAATTGGACAACCATGACCTGGATGACTGAGAATCTCCATAGAGATACTCTGCTGATATATAGGTAGCTGTTGTGACTCAGCAGATGTCTTCTGTGAGTCTTTTTGGGATACAAGATTCATTATGCAGCTGGGGCTTGTTAGGGGCAGGTTTGGAGATAAAAGGACGGATGCTGCCACACCCCAGTCGCAGGAGTCAACGTTCCTTCGTGCGTACAACATTGCTTGATACACTTGGATAAGTGCTTTGGTGTTTCCTGTAACCGTGATTCAAGGCTACACTTGGAGAAGTGCATTGCTTGTAAGAGTTGTTTTGTTTTTTATTCCGTTATCTAGTCAGAGACTGTATTTATGTTATTTTTGGGCTCGAAGCCAGTTTGAACTGAGAACTGATAAAGAAAGTTCCTTTTAAGTTTATTCGTCTTGCCGTTTGTTAAGAGCCGTGAAGGGGGGACAGAACAGGTAGCCCTCAATTTACAACCACAACTAGCTCAACATTTCCATTCCTAGGCAAGAGAGTTGTTAAGTGAGTTTTGCCCCATTTTCAACCTTTTTGCCACAGTTGTTAAGTGAATCACTGCAGTGGTTAACTGAATCATGAGTTTGTTAAGTGAATCTGGCTTGCCCCATTGACTTTGCTTGTTGGAAATTGGCTGGGAAAGTTACAGTTAAAGAAAGTTATAGTGATCATCAACCTCGGGACAGTGCAACTGTCATAAATGCATGTCAGTTGCCAAGAGCATAAATTTTGATCACATGACTGTGTTGTAGTCCAACAGCACCCGGCTGAACTGTTGGTGGAATCTGACAGTGATGAACAGTATGGGACTGCCTTGGAGGCTGAGGAAAACTCTGGGGGGTGTTCGGAGTCAGAGCAGGGACTAGAGAGGCCTGTTGGCCACCAGGTGTCGTCTGAGTCAGGGAGCAGTGAGGAAGAACAGAGGGAGGCTGTCCCTGACGTACCTATGCGTAGGGCTCGAGGAGGAGGGAGCAGCTTTGGAAAAAGGATCACAAAAGGAAATAGGAACAGGTGGCTACTGATTGGCCCCTCTCGGAGAGCTTATAGGTGGGGCGACGGGAGGGGAATTTTGTAGGAAACAACAATTTACTGATCCACTCATAGAGAAAGATTGGGAGAATTTTGTGAGTTCAAGCCTCGTTTCATAGAAGTAGCTTTCTGGGCTACCAGCCAAGGGGTTGCTTATCTCCCTCCTTAGTTGTGGCAGACAGCCAAGTCTGCGTCTGTATATATTGTAGAGGCTTGGGACAGAACAGACTGTGAGGATATTACAATAGTCATAAATATGAAAACTCAGTCATAAGTCACTTTTATCAGCACCGTTCTAACTTTGAATAGTCACCAAATGAATGGTCGTAAGTCAAAGATTACCTGTATCGCAATCCAAATCATTTAGTGCTCCTTGTGGTGAAAGCATGCTTACCATTTAAAATTCATAAAGATAATAAATATATATTTAAAATATGATTTAAAAATAATAAAACAGTTTTTTCCTCTGAATTGCATTAATTTGCATTGTAGCAAAATGCCTCCTAAGAAAATATTGTTAGTTTTTTAAAGACCAAATGACATAATTTTGAAATACACACATAATCATTCAAATCTTGTTATGTTAATCCTACCTTATGCTTTCTTTTTCTTTTCAGGTTGAATATGTCTTCACAGATAAAACAGGGACATTAACTGAAAACAATATGGAATTTATAGAGTGCTGCATTGAGGGGCATGTTTATATACCCCATGTCATCTGTAATGGCCAAATTCTCCATGACTGTAGTGGAATTGATATGATTGATTCATCCCCAGGAGGAAGTGGAAAAGTATGAACAGTTGTGCTTGGTTTTGTTAATGCTGATCTAAAATATTGAAACATTAAGCTTGATTTTTTTAAAAAAATTCTGGATACATTTATGTAACTTTGTTGGCAACCATATGTTGTTGCCTTCCCATCCAGGTTACTGCCTTGATCCATTATTAAAAATATGGCACTTGAATCACTTGGTTGAAGTAGCTTTCCATCAGATAGGTATTGTGCTTTAAATATGTTAAATGCTTTTTCTAAGATGTTTCTAATTTGACAGTAATATCAAAACCACTGTTTAAAACCATTGCAAAGAATAATTTAGAATTCTCTGGTCATCAAACTGATAAATGAAGAAGGTACCACTTCAGCTGAAATTAAATTGGAGCAATGTAGAAAGTAGATTTAGTAGTTCAGCATGCTAAATCCAAGGATTGCGATTGATGCCTCCCTGGTTTGATAAGACGGGGAAGAAGGATGGATCTAGAGCAGTGGTCACAAACCTTGCAGACCTCCGGGACCACTAAATTCATAATTTTAAATTCTGCAGACCACTAATATGAATTTTTTAAAAAGATAACATTTAGTGCAATATAAAAAATGCAAATAATTTTTCTGTGGGCCACCAAAATTTTATCATGGGCCACCAGTGGTCTGTGAACCACCAGTTGGTGACTGCTGATCTAGAGGATTGAATAAGGATAGCAAGAGCTTGGTGGCAGCACACTTTTTAATCGTGTTTACATTTAAATATCTATTTAAATTTAGCTACACTAATCATTCATTGGTGGAAAGGTAAACTTAACTGCTCTAAAATGACTTTGTTTGGTGGACATGATGATTGCACTTATCATTGTGAAAGGCTTACATTGACATTGACTTTTGTAACACACAGGTGAATTGGCTCCTTGCTCAGAGACAGTTTCTTCAAACCACTTCAACTTTTCTTTTCTGTCTCTTTATCTCTCTTTTATCTCAGAGCTCATAACACTTCAGATGATCTCACTAGCCTAACTTAATAAAGTTGTAAAATGTCCTGAGTGCAAGTTGCATATTGATCCAAAAAGATCATTTTATTATCGGTTCAACATCACAGACTCTCTGTCATTGGTCTAATAATGGCCCTAAGTGAGCAGGGAAATGGCTACATAAACTATAATAAGAACAAAAAATAGTGTTCACATGGGACTTCTTTTAAGCAGCTAAGATCCGTGTAGCTATATCCAGAAATAGAACGACTAAACACTTTTTAATGAATAGCTCAAGAATATTAGTTCTTTAAACACATTGAATTTGTTTTATTTATTTATAGAGATTTTTCTTAAAATAGATACACTTACAACAATGGAAAGTTTTCCTTTCCCTTCCTCTCTGCAACCTCTTATCTTGTGTCCCGTACCAATTTGTTCATAAGACCTCAATGACCTCATGGATAAATTTTAGAAATCAGAGTTGTTGGTGGAAGGAGGGAGAGAGGATTTCCCCCCCCTTCCATCAGCTTCCTTAAATTAGGATTATTACTAATAATAGATCCACTTTGAGCCCATCAGTCTAATAAATTTAAATGTCCAATATTTTTTCAGGTACTAGTGCTCTTCATAAATGTTATTTCCTTTTTAATTTATTAGGACCGAGAAGAGCTCTTTTTCCGAGCTCTATGTCTTTGTCATACAGTTCAAGTGAAGGAAGATGATACGGTAGATGGAGTAAAGAAAGCTCAACTTTCAGGAAAATCTTCTGTGTATATTTCATCATCCCCTGACGAAGTTGCTTTAGTTGAAGGAATTCAGAGGTACGTACAAGTTAGTATAATTGTCTCGAAAATTGTGTAAGATCAAATGTCTCTTTCATTTCATAGTATAAGCACAGGGGACAATGTTATCGTTGAAAATATGTTTGTGAGAAAAATACCTGTATTAAGAAAACAAAAATAGTTCTAGTGGTGTGTGGGATGTTACTTTGGACCAGAGATGGGATTCACTTACCTTCCCTACTGGTTTGCAAATGCAAGCACGCTTGCACGCACTTTGTCTGCACATTCGCACTGCAGTGCTCACGCATTACTTCAGGGTGGGTGGGTGTAGCCTCTGCAGCTGCCACTACCGGTTCGCCCAAACCAGAGAGAACCGTCTGAATACCACCTCTGCTTTGGACTGAGAGCCTGTAAAACAGCTCTAGGTATCTCTTAATTTCTGCTGAAAAATAAATGTTTCTTCTGGTTGTTGTTTATTTTTTTTAATCCATTATTGTAATTTGTGTGAACATGTCTGGCTTAGAGGTTATTAAAAATAAGAACCTTTATTGCAGCCTAGAGAGGCTAGAAAGCACAACAATAAAAATGGTAAAAATCTGTTTTGAGACCTACAGTACTTGAAAGTCAACATCACAACATGAAACTGGTTAAGCTGGTCTATATATGGGAATATCCACATTCACATCTTTTTTAAAGAACTGTTCGCTCCCCACAGATAGATCAAAAAGGGGAAAGATAGAAAATGGAATGTTGGATATTGTTATCTCATAAGTGTGTTCCATGGAGTTACATTAGGCTGGTTTACTATATATATGGACAAGAATATAATTGAGAGCCAGAAATGCAAGGTCCAAATGTGATGAAAGTAAAACATTTGAAGAAAGTTGGCATACTGTATACACCATTTAGATACTTCTACTTGCTTCAACCAGTATGAGCAACTTAGTAAACTTGTAACCTTTGAACTCTTTTGAACTCTTTAGAAAAAATAACAAGCCAGAGCATATAATGCTAAGCAACCAGAGATGAAGTTATTTGGCTTCATTTAGCTACTCTCACTGGTAAGGAGGAGCAAACAAAAAATGATAACTACCATGCACTTTCCTTAATAATGCTCTATAGTTCTCACTAATTCCAGCATTTGAATACATCTGATATCTTGGTAAAAGCAAAATAAAAAACCTGATTTGATTACAGATAGGCATCAATAGCTCAGGTAAATTAGCTATTCTCTAATCCTTGAAATAGAAGAAGGGATAAAGGAATCCTTAATCAACTTGAGTAAATGACATTTTTCTGAACTGAAAATTATATTAAAAAGGTATTCTTTAATATACATCAAACTGTATTATAAACATGAAATATGGTCATTTTAATCCCTATTATGTATAATTGAATTTTCAGACTTGGTTATACATATTTACGATTGAAAGACAATTTTATGGAAATTTTAAATCGAGAAAATGACATTGAAAGGTAAGTTATTTTTAATATGAAACAAGGGCGATCAATGGAATACTTCCTGTATATGAAAACACTTAATGTCATTATAAAAATAACTTGGCAAAAAATATTCTGCTTGGTTGATTCTTTAAGCTATTTTGGAAAGACTTTGAACTCTGTAAGTGAATTTTGTGTCAGAATATGGTGTTTCAGAGAGATATTGTTTTCCCATCACAAGAAATATAAGAGCACAGCATCCCTATTCTTCTAAAATTAAGAATGTATACATGCAAATGTAACTGATTGCAAAATGTTATTTTTTTCTCTTCAGATTTGAACTATTAGAAGTTCTTAGTTTTGATTCAGTAAGAAGACGGATGAGTGTGATTGTAAAATCAGCAAAAGGTAGTAAAAAGAAACTTTATAATTTCACATTGAAGAATAAAATTTCACAGTTTATTCTTTCCAGCCCAATAAGATGCTATTAAACAAGCTATAAAAAATTCAAACTCTGCCTACATATCAGAAAATAATTCTCACAGGGGAACAGGACCAAATTTGTTGGGGGAAGGATGTCAAGAGAAAGATCTACTTGGGAAAGCACTATTGTAGATAGATCACATGACTCTGAAGCCAGAAGGAGATGGTTTAGAACGCAGCATTCTAAGCCAATGCACGTGCCTAACTTGTATCTTCCTTATTTTAATATATTATAACTATGTTAAAGAAGGTCTGTTAATATTTTCAGAAATCTGTTTAGACCAGGGGAAGAAAGACACTGTCAAACCCAAATACCAGTACAGAAAATCAACACCATGGGAAAGCTGGAACTATCTTTATTGAGATTGGCTAGAATAATAGAGTCTTACATATGTGATTCTGCTGTATTCCTTCCCTCTGCCCCTTTTTATACTCTTCCTGTTTTATACTCTTGTGAATCCGCCTGAGCTGTTTCTGAATACTATCTTCTTCCTCAGGATTTAAAAAATGTTGTCTAGGTAATCTTGCATATTTTTATTAAGGTCACTTCACTTATTCTTCCCAGATAGATTACTCTATATTTAACAAATGTTTCTCATTTTGTTTTGCTTACATATTTTCAGGCGAAATATTTCTATTTTGCAAAGGAGCAGATTCTTCTATATTTCCTAGAGTTACAGAAGGAAAAATAGAACAGATAAGATCAAGAGTTGAGCGAAATGCCGTGGTAAGATCCAAATTCTGTTAAGTATAACTCATATAGTGTGTCTATCAAACAGAAAGAAATGTAATGTTCCCCAGAGCTACCAGTACTCTGGAACACATTGATGTCCACAGCAAATCAAGAGTCCATCAAAATCATATGGTAATATCATGATGGAAATCCCATCTCTCTATATTTGCATTTTTTCAATCCTTCTGTCTAATAAAAGTATATATATATCGTAAATTGTGATATTCTGTTCATGATGACATGAAGCAAATTTCTGTCATGTATCATATTAGTCTTTTCCTGCTCCCAGCATCTACCTGTGTATAGAACCAAAGATTTGAAGGATCTAACCCAATATCTCACATAAGAGTGATGTAATTATATATCATTTGAATATGAGATGTGAATGTATCATATGATTGTCACAATTTTTAATCTTATTTTACTTGTGGGATCCTCAGGTATTGTTTTTGAAGATGTCAGTCATACAAGGCCTCAAAGGGTCCATCTTCTTGATGCTACCCTTTTAAATGACATGTTTGTGGTTTTAGCATTACTGTATATGTGAGCAAAACCACAATAGTTTGTTCAACAAATCATGCCTTTATTTATTTTATTTATTTATTTTATTTATTAGACTTATATACCGCTTCATAGGGCTTTCAGCCCTCTCTAAGCGGTTAAGACCTCTAAGGCCTCTCTAAGCCTTAGACTTCTATGCAGACTACAACTCATTAGTAAAGCATGCAACCTTTCCAATAAATATTTTTTGTGCTTCTAAAACAATTGTTTTTAGGAGGGCTTACGAACGTTGTGTGTTGCATATAAAAAATTCACATACGAAGAATATGAGATTGTGGAAAAACAGCTTCAAGTGGCAAAAATAGCCCTTCAGGATCGGGAAAAAAAACTGGCAGAAGCATATGAACAGATAGAAGATGGGCTTATCTTGCTTGGGGCTACAGCAGTTGAAGACCGGTTGGTGTTCTTCTTTCCATTCAGATCAGACATCCTGTTCATGATCTTAAATTCAATTGTGGTAGTTAATTTTTTTCCTGGTCCAAGTACCTATGTGATAAAAAGATTCTGACCAGTGGTGGGATTCAGCCAGTTTGCACCACTTCGGGAGAACCAGTTGTTAACTTTCTGAGCAGTTTGGTGAACTGGTTGTTGGAAGAAATCATTAGGGCAGAGCACTGGTTTTTAAATTACTTGAATTCCACCACTGATTCTGACGCTTATCGTTAGATTAGTTAACTAATTTATTGAGACAAGGTCAAAGGGATTATTTGGGAAATGAAAGCTTTTTCATTTTTAACATAATGAGC